TTCGGGTTACGACCAACTCGGGATACGCCCAGAGTCACGGAACGGATTAAGTTCGTATCCTGAGGTACCACTGTATATGAAGGAGTCATGGGTTGAGAAGAAAAGGAAGACTGAGAATCTCAGAAAGCTGAAATTTTTCATGAAAATAATGAGATCCTCAAAAAGGGAGATCAGAGAATTTTAAAGAACAAAAGGTAATGTATGAATTGTTACACGGACATAATGAAAGTAGGTATGGTTTGCAGGGTTAAAAGATATGGAGATGTATAGTTTATAGTGTTGGTATAAACTAGATTTAGCTATCTTTCCTTTTCTTTTTCTAATATCATAGCTTACTACTTATTACTAATTTTCTGTTCTCTTTATAATGTTGCTTAGTCATGGGTATGTATGTATGCATGTACATATAAATATACAATGTGTAGTATTTATATTTTTTCATATTTTCATTAAATAAGTTATGCCATGACTACTTTGTGAAATGTATGTGTATTTGCATGTATATTTACATTATGGAAAGGAAAACGTCCAGGCTTAACCTGCCCTGTAAGGCAAGAATCAAAACCAAGAAACAAAAATCAGTACATGCTTACAGAGATTAACAACAGAGGGTATTAATGCTCTATATATATTAACAAAATTTGCTACAGGCTACACCATTGTTTCTGAACCTTGGCAACTTTACGATGTATGGACTTCAGCTCCCAAATTCCCCAGCCAGCACGCTGGCTGGGGAATTCTGGGAGTTGCAGTCCACACATCGTAAAGTTGCCAAGGTTCAGAAACATTGGGTTACATTAATAATATCTGAAATTCAAAACTTGAGAATCAGCCTTTAATGAACATTATTTAAACATGTAGTTTCTCTATTTTAGGGAATTATTATTTATTATAATATAAAGATGAGGGATGTAATCTCTTCTGTACAGTCCCTGCCAGCTTCCTCATTTATATAAGCTGCAGGCTGCATTCTAGCAGAAGACTCTGAAACAAACTTGAAACTACAACCCTGAATAATTCATTCAAGGAAACTTTTGAATGGACCTGGTTTAACAACCATCGCCAGGTTAACAGTTGCACAACTGCAACTGTTTCTGAAACCCCAGCTGTGCAAGGATCCTCCAGCATGTTATGTTTATCACATTTTCAACTTACAAAAAAACCCCATAGAAAATTAATTATGCTAAATTTGAAAACGAAAGTCAAACCACAAAAGCTCAATGAAAGCAGCAAGAGTAACGTACTGTGACCTAACTGGGATTTTAATACGTGGGACTGAACATCCTTAAGGAAATAAGGAGCTATCTCATGTTGACATTGATCCAGCAAGTTCGGATGACATTAAAGACTGATTCCTACCAAACAAAGCCTTTGAAGGTACAATCTCATTCAGCCTTCCTCAATCTGGATCCTCTTCAGATGTGTGGAGTTCAGTTCTCTACATTCCTCCAATTGCTGAAAATTCTGATACTCACACATCTGGAGTGCACTCAAGTTAGGGAAGTCTGATTTACTCAGTCTGATGTTATTCTGCCTCTTTCTTTTCTTTCCTACAATGGGACCAAAAACAGTAACTCGTGGAACAGCAGAAGAATGCTACCTTCATTATTTTAATTACAAAAACACTTGTTCTTAAATTATTTTATTGCTTTAATATCCATCAACACATTTTTCCTGTATGGCTACTCAGAAGCAAGCTCTTTTTAGATAAATTGGGCAAAGTAAGATAACATAGGATTTTGATCTCAAATACAAAGTATTTCCAGAAACTTCAGTACCAGGGCCTCCAAAACCCCCCAACTAGCATCTTCAGAAAGTGGATACTTCTCATTTAGCATTATTTATAACTTTGCAAATGCAATGAAAAGAATCAAAGTAACTTTTTACTATCATATTTTAATTTTAATCTAATCAACTGAAGTTTTTCCCTAATTTTTCCTTTTGTTTTCTATTTTGGGACTCCCCTGATACACTTGTACAGTGAAAGCAGTACTCCAGCAACCTCAGATGGTGTCAGATAATCCAGGCAAAACACCATGAACACAAATAAACTCCAGGTAAACAAGTGTATCTCCCCAAGGTAAGCCAGATTAGAGCTTCCAAATCATGCAGAGCAACTGATAGCTCAATGCCCTCTTTCTCTGCCCCATTATATTATCAAACAATTCATCATTTACAAGTTAAATCTGTTCTACAAAAGTTTACTCTAATTACTCTGACCTACAGCAAGTAGATCAGGTAGAGCAAGTCCTGAAAACAGGAACACCAAGCCCTGCAAGCAAGCAAAAAGCTTGCTTATAAAAATATATTGGTTATATTGCACAATGTTTTGGTTTGCTAAGTTGCTTAAATTGGTTGAATTGTTGAATAAATAATAGGTGTGTCATTGTCTTCAATCATTACATTTTTAAAAAATATTATTTTCCAACAAGATTCTTGTTGTCAAGAAAATTAATATGTTAGCAGCAGGAGCTAAGGAAATATGTCTAATGATAAACTTGTTTCATTGTCAGAGAACAGTTTCAGTTCTCACATCAAAGGTATATGGATGTGAAAATAGTCCAAGTCATGTAGGGCTTCAGGAAGAAACATAACACATGCCAATATTGGTATTCCAAATAAAAAAGAGTTTACCACAAACTCCTCAGCCCTGTTACAGCTGCCAGCTGACCCTGGGTTGCTGCTCCTTTCCAGTTTTGGCCAGAAACAGCTGGAGATAATTGGTAGAAACCATGATTTGCATGCAAAAGGTCCCCAACATCTCCTGCCTGAGCTGAGAAAGACCCCTGTTTGAAAGACTGAAGAACTGCTGCCTGTCGAAATAGGCAGTAATGAGGTAGTTGGACCAGCGATCTGACTCAGTATGTTCAGCTTCCTATACTCCTGCACCATCAATGGGCTCTTGAAATCACCAACCCATCATCTCCTGAGCAGAAGAAAAAAAATCCTCAAATATGGAACATGCTTCAAAAAGTTGCCTTCAGCTCCAGTTCTTAGATAGAAATTAACCAGTACTGGATTTAGAGCTCTACATGTTGAGGTTTTATGAGATTTTATACATCAGCGATCAGCTTCTTTCATCCTTAGCTTTTTTTACTGACCTTCATAACACATCTATCCACCATAGAATCCAGCCATTCGATGTATGATTCAATGGGTGACTGCTCTTCCAGAAGATGATCAAATTCCTGATATACTGGCAAAATAAAACCCCAGGAATCCAAATCATTAATTGCTGTTGTCTCTTATAGAAGAAAAGGAAGGCAAATGAAGAGGTATACAAATTGCTTAGCTAAATTAAACAACAGAAAATTAATGCTATATTTAAGAAGAGAAAAGCTGAAACTATTTGCTGTGACTAGCTAGCCTCATATTCCTTCTTAGTTCCCTGTAGTCAGTAGTTTTGCATATTTTTTTTGCTACATTTCCCAGTATTGTTTATCTGTAAGGAAAAGCCAGACTCCATTCTAAGAGTCATTCTTCCATGGCTAAAGCTAAGCTCTGACCCTTTAGATAAAAAAGGTCATGCATGAAATTGATTTAGAAATGCATAAGATGCTATTTAAATCCAGGACAGGCAACACCTTCCCATCAGGAAACATTCTGCAGCATTGCAGCATCAGTAATTTGCAATACCTAAAATACATTTTTCTGTCAATTTGATTTTTAATCTTCAAGACTGCTATGAGATGTTTAGATATTATTTGGGCAAAGGGGTTCTCTTTTAGGGATACATCAGGAAAAAAAACACTAAGTTTGTTCTATCTTATTTTTACTTTTGTAAATATTTTATTTTTTCCAACTGACCAAACTGTCTTATAATACACATGAATGGCATCCTATTCAAAATATAGCATAATTAAGTTGCAACTCCAAACATTCTTTCTATGAACAAATGGAATTATTTTGAACTATGCATGAATAAAATTCTAGTGAAGGCTGGACAAAAGCTAAGACTGACTTCTAAGTAAACATGGGTGGTGTGTTTAAAGTATTTCTTAACTACCTCAAAACCTTACAAATATAAACACATTAAAAATCATGGAACCAAAAGAATCTGGTTGGATCAGGTCAGAGGTTTATATAAACTGTAATTCTATATAGACTGCAATTGCCAACTGGATGCATCCTGAAAACTCATAATTAGGACATCAGGGTGAGAACACCTTTCCACTGTTGCTTTCTGGTAATTGTACTTGCTACTGAAGTTATGCTGTTATGAAGTATAGTAGCCATTGATCATTCAATGACCAGGTTATTTGAGGGACCACCTCTCCCTAAGGACATCTGTCCGTTCTACTAGTCCCCTCCCTTAAATGTTGCCATCTTATGGGACCTAGGAAGCGTGCTTTCTCTGTGGCAGCCCTATCCCTTTGAAACACCCTTTCCCTTGAAGTTCTGCAGGCCCCCACCCTTTTAACCTTCTGAAAAACTCTTAAGACCTGGCTTTTCCCCCAGGTGCTAGGTTAGAGTGAGATTGTGAAATGCCCTTGTTGTGGGCTGTATGGAAGTTTAGCTATGGCTTCAGGTCCTTGGGTTTTATTTTTTTGGTTTTAATATTTTTTATTGTAAGTAGATGTTATTTTATCTCTTGGTTATGAGCCACCCAGATAGTACAAGATGGGTGGCTATATAAATATTTGAAATAAATAAATAAATAAATAAATTCTTTTCACTATGGATTTTTCTAGTCCCCAAAATAATCTAAAGTGGTAGTATTACCACATCTGGTAGAAGTGAATTCCATAGTAAAATAAGTATCAAGCTGCAAAATCATTCTATATGTGAAAATGTTTTGCAGCCTTTACAAAAATTATGAACCAATGGAAAGAGGATATTTTTATTCTGAGCAGCTTGTTTTAATTTGTACAACTGAAGAAACTGATGGTTTGGGTTTGCTTTTGTTTTTGTTATCATGTTATATGAGTTCTTGTTGTTTTTTAAAAAATATTTTTTAATTTTTTAAAGAGAAAACAAACAAGTGAAAAGAAAAAGAAAAAAACAAATAAAAAGAGGAGAAAAAATAATTGATGCAAAGACATAATATCAATAAGTGGATAAAGAAGTTACAAAGAAGTTGAACAGCTAGTGCTCAGTATATAGCTGATGAAAATTTAACCTTAAAAGACAAAATAAAATAAATAATATTTAAGAATAATGAAAAGGATTTTAAAGAACTTTTTGAGTCTCTGAGTTAAGTGCCAGAATCTCCATTATTTGTTATATAAAGATACTATAAAAAGGCGGGGGGGGGGAATTCTTGTTGGTTTTGAATTTGCTGTTGTTTTGCTATTATATTTTGTAGCATGCACACTCCAGTTTATTATATTCCATAGTAAAATAAGTATCAAGCTGCAAAATCATTCTTTTCATATGATCTTTCTATCATATCTACGAATTCTTGTTGGTTTTGAATTTGCTGTTGTTTTGCTATTATATTTTGTAGCATGCACACTCCAGTTTATTATAATATAAACTACTCTGATTGCATTTCTAAGAATTAGCAAGCTACATTTTAAAAAAAACAGACAATATGTTAATAAATATACAGAACATTAAATTTATATATGTACAATCTTGTCAAATAATGTTAGCTATTGTATGGGCCTAACTAGGAAAGGTGAACTGCCTAAATCATTTTATTTTTTTAATCAAACAGGAAGTTAAAATGTTCTACAGTTAAGTTTGGAAAATGGGAAAAGGTATGAGCCAGAGAACTGTAGATATGATAGAAAGATCATATGAAAAAGAGCTTTAAAAGGTTGGTGAAAGGTTGGATATTTTTATTTTGAAAGTAGATAATGAGGGAGGGAATGGAGGGGTTATAAAAGAAGATGTCAGAAATCATTGTATTTATTAAGAGCAGATTGTGATCTATACTCTACTTTAACTGATACTTTTAGTCTCCAGCCAGTCCAAGTTAAATCATTACATTTTGCATTTGAGAAATGAATGATAGTCTAACGAAGAGCTTAAGAAATCTTGATATTTCAATTTTATCCTTTACTGTATATGGAACCAATTGTGCTAGGTCAGCCTTCTCTCACCTGGTGCTCTCCAGAGGTACACATCTGAAGATGACCAAGGGTGATACTGTTAATAGAAGTTATAGTTAATAAAAGCAATTTAATTTTGCCTATATGATTTAGAGATACTTATTTATAAATATAGGACACACTGATGGAACATAAGAATTCTATTTTATCTTTTTAAAGCAAACATGAAAAGCTGCCCTCTTTGTGTTACCTCATCCCAAAGAAAACTTATTATCCCAATGTATACTTATTGGAATTTGGGATTTGCATTTTTTTTTTACTTTCTAAATATCAGATACCTTGTTGCCAGATGTCTCATTGATCCTGATGATGTATTCCTTTAACAGCTTTATTAGTTTCTCAGGATACCATCCTAGAAGATGTTCTTACTGTAAAAAAATCTCTTAAGAGATTTTTAATTACTGAAAATAATTCTTTACTGTGTTGCATATCAGTGAAATATTCACTAGTTGCTGCCACAGTCCTATAGTAGCTTCTTCCTAGTTAAAAGTTCATTAGATGTTCCTTCACTCTGAAAACTGAGCTGAACGGGTATCCAGCAAGTGACCTCGGAACAGAGGCATCCTGAACTGCTCAGGGAGTCATCTGGCCTTGTCATCACATGCAGGCGTCTTCACAGAGATTGTTACCTGCATAAGGAACCCCCCAGTGCAAATCTTTGAGTACTTGGAATGTGCATCTGAGAATTGCATTTTGTGTATTTAATCTGCATTGCTTTTAACTGGGCCTGCATTCAAGTATACAATGTTTGAAAGATGAAATCACTTCTTAAAGTGCAGCTAACGTTGAGTCATGAAAAACATGTTTGCTTAAGAAGAATTATAAGGCGGTATGTGGAGGGAAACAGGTTTTTGGATGTTTTAAGTAAGATGTTTTGAAGTGCACGTGAGCCACTCTTCTGGTATTAAGGAAATAGGAATCTAGGCACCATTAAGTTTTACAACTGCATCTAAAGAGGTAGAAATGCTACAAGCAGTTTAGATTGCAACTTTATGCGTGCTTCTTTAAGGGTAACAAATACTGTAGGGTTTGCTTCTTAGTAATTATTCCCAAGACTGCAGTGTTAAACATTTGTATGGAAATGTCCTCCTCCACTATATTTCCCATTGTGTGGAAAAGTTGCTGGAGAGCAAAGAGAAATTTATCAGAAGGCAGAGAAAGGGTTATGCAACCACTATTTCTCCTGGGTCATCTCTCCCCCAAGGAGTCTTTTGTCATCTGAGCTGGTCTTAGAAGCAACAGTGCTGGCATATTCTGGTTTGTCTTAACATTTAGAGCTACCTTTCTCTTAACTGAAAGTTTTATAGCCTTACATTGTATTATAAGTTTCCTGTGTTCCTCTTGCGAATCTTCCATGGTGTATAGTGTTTGTTTGGTGATACTGTTAAGATCCACATTCCTCCAGTCTTCCAGCATTTGGAATGTAATGTCTGCACTGTGAATCACAGTTCTTGATGCCTATAATCCAATTCAAACAACTCATTAGCTTAGGGTTTATCACCTTAGATAACATCCCATTATCCCTTTATATGCTTCTATGGTGGGTTCTGCTAAGTTGATTTTCTCCTTGGGTTCTGGAAAAGTCATGGGTTGCAGCAGGCACCCTGAATATAACTTTTCCCAGTCCTCACAAATTACAGATCTCATGTGGAAGGTCTCTCCCTAAGATAGTTCTATAGCTTTGCTTTCTTCATTTGGGAAAAGGCATTTTCTTCTTTCAAAGAATAAGCATTCTTTGCATCTTCTCCCTTAAGTACAAATTATTTGTATCTAGACCTTCACTTTTGAAATGTTCACATTTATTTAAATGGTAAATTCATTTACCACTTCAAGATAACTGAAACAGGGATCTGAAATCCTTACCCCCTTATAGCACCTGAAGCATGTTTTCAATATTGGAACTAGGCTTTATCCCAGAGCATGTCGAATACTACTTAAATTTAATGAATTTCTCTCAATATTTTGACCACAAATCTGTCTCATGTACCTAGAAGGGGATGGGAGTGGAACATCAGAGACTGTAGCTTAAGACTGAGGTGAGACCCCCATGCAAGATAATGGACTAACTACTAAACAGAACTGCCTGCATTTCCACTTAACCCATGCAGATGCTGTTTGGTACTGCAGATAGTAAGGAAGGCTGAGGAGAACATCAGTGCAACTGTCCATATTGCTTTTGCTGCCGTTACTAAAGATTTCACTCTAGTAGTATGTTAGAGGCTGTTCAAAATATTGGAGTACGACAATTTTGCTCAAAGTGCTTACAAATTGCTTTCATCTCTATTTGGCCAGAAAGGAAAGAAACCAAGGATTGACAAGAAGATGGGAAAAACTGGGACAGCAAGATAAAATCAGTGCAAATATTATTTTCAATATGTTTCCTTTACAGTTTGCTGTAACTCTCCAGGTAGATAATGGCAAGGAAAGAGGTCTATAAAAATCAGAAAATATAATAATTATTATAGATCTAGTCAAAATCCTATTTAGTTCAGCATTCTGGGTCTCACAGTGGCCAATCATGTAACTCTTGGAATCCAATAAATGGATATGAGGACAAAAGCCCTCCTTCACTTTTGCTTCCTAGCAGCTATTATTTAAGGCCTGCTCTCTGGGATTCTACATTGCATGAAGAAATTGCATACAGGGATTAGTCGTCATTGATAGGCCTATTTTCCAAGAATTTAGAAAATTCATTTAAACCAACAGCTAGTAAGCAACAATTATACAGCATATATTTACTTCTCCAATGTGTGGGAAAAGAAGGGAATTACAGTTCCTCTTGTAAAATCAACTACAACCTTCCCCAGTCTGATGGTTTTTGGATTCCTTGGATTACAGTGTCCATGCCGGCTGGTGATTATGCAAGTTTAACACATCTGGAGGCCACTAAATTCAGGAAAGCTGATTTAAAAGATAACTCTGACCAATTTATTTCTATGATCATCCACTAATAATCACATTAGCCCCCCACACCTGAGCTCAGAGAGGTCTCGGCTGACAGACCAAGTCCTCCCTAATCACTGATGGAAGGGTGGGAGTGAGGCTTGAGCTCTGATATGTTCTGAAGCAGAGGTATGCAAAACATTTTGAATTAGAAATGTTTTGCACATTTGCTTTGAGGCCTTTTCTCTATACTAGAAAAAAAAGTAGACTTAATTTGAGTAGTTGATCAAGGTTGCTTTCTTAAGATCCATGCGAAGAAGTGAACTAATATGGAGGGAATTCCATTTTATGTGCTTAACCTAAATGAGAGAAGCAGCAGGGAGGAGAGGAAGTTAAGTTTTGATTTCTCTGACTTCTCAGATGCATGCAAAGAATTTATCTGAGAACCAATGTATGTATACTTGCTGAGCAACAAAATAAACTTATAACAAAGAAAGATAAAATACCTGGCATAGATGGTTTAATGATGTCTGCCTCCGAAGAATTTGAGAAAATCTTCTGGATACTGACAATGAGGAGATGATTCATGTAGTTAGCTACAGTAGAATGATTACTTTGGCACCAAACAATATATAGCATGTCTTCTTTTTACTGCTAACAGCACCCATCTTTAACTGATTTTGTTTTGTTAGAACTTTAATATACTTTTCTTTCAACAAGATAAAAATATATAATTATACATGTTTGTTATGTGAATATACATATTTTAGGCATTTTATGTGCTTTAGTATATGGGGAAGGGATTTTTTAAACTTTTTTTTTTTTTTTAAAAAAGCATGTTTGGGATAGAAATCATTACCCACTAAAATCAATAACTTTGGCAAAGCAATGTTAAGTCCCATTGAAAGCTATCTATTGGTGGTTAAGCTGAAGTAGAGCCAATCTTTACCTACATGCCTGCAGAAAGTTCCATGTGTTCCATCTGCTGGTTCCCAGAGCCTGAAGGCCCCAATAGAGCTATTCTATTCCCAAGATGTGTCAAAGTAGCTTTAGATTCATAATATCCAAAGCCACCTCACTTTTGACACAGTTCCAGCCTAGATCTACAGACTCCATCTGGCTGAGACTGGATTAGTAATTTCTCTTTCCATTCCAACAAAAATTGAAGAGGTTGATCATCCATATAGAAACCCCCCCTCTTTTTGTTAGGACTGTGCTATTGATATCAAGTGAACTAAGCTTCTCTGGTTTGGGATTAGTGACTGCAGTACACAAACCAAATGAAGATTAAATGTATGTTATGTAAGCATATTGGCAAGACCATGCACAGAATAAAATCCATATTCTCTCTCTCTCATCAGTCACTAGTTTACATCCATATTTTCTTGGGTAAATCCTATTACTGTAGATATATTATTAGTTTTTTCAGCAACAGGTAAATAAATAGTATGCTGAAATCTATAACATAGCTCGTATACATAAAGCTAGTATCTGGATTCCAGAGATGTTCAGATAGCTTCAGTACTATATGGCTTTACCAAAGTGAAGAGAATCCACTCTCTCTGGCTGCAATTCTGCTTATTAAAGTCAATACCAAAATATTCATTTTGAGAAAAGGACTGTGTCCTGGATTATTTGAATAAATTATTAAATTACAAACATTGTTGTTGAATGGGTCATTTTCTGAGTCTCCTCAACAAAGGTGCTTTTAATCATTCATGCTGATCAATGGTTAATCCGTCTCCTAAATGAATTTTTCCCTCCCCTTTTCAACTTGCCCCACATTCTCTGTCTTCTAAAAAACTTTGTGATGTGGAAGTTAGCACTTATAAAAGGAGAAGGATTGAGAGCCATGAAATAAAGCAGGCTTTCTCAAGAGGTGATGTGCAAGGCAGGCGTCTACAAAGCATGCCTGAAAGAGCGTAGTGCCCTTTCCTGTGGAGATGGGGTAATTTGATCGCCTCCATTTTTTAAACTTTGACACCTTTTCTGAGCAAAGGCCTCAAGCTGTATTCAAAGACCCCAAAATTTGAAGAGGTGCTTGATGGCTTACATTTGCAGGCCATCCCATGAGAGAAGGTTCAATTTGTTCCACAAAGACAGGAGACTTCTCAATTAATTGTAACTAATCTGACTTCGGCACTATGACTAGTCAGAGATACACGCTCATATTGCTGAAAGAATTGACAAAATTTTGTTAAATTAGAGATGCAATGCTAAATTGTTCTTTTTTACTGGAACCATTTTAAACACAGCCAAATTCAAAAGACACAGAGCGTGTCCACCACCTTTTCAGGCACTGAGCACCACTTTATGATTTTGCAGATACCAGGACTTTTAAAAAAATTATCAAAATTATCAAAATATTGCGCAATCTCCTAAAAGCCCTAAAGGTTTTTGGCAATATCATGCCTAAGATCATGTGAGATTTGGGACTTTTTTACATTTGGGAGGTTTGCAGGTGCTTTCTTGGATTATTATAAATATTTTTGACATCAAAAGTCACTGTGTTGCCTATTCCTTACATAAAATTAAAGAGTGCCTTCAAATTTATTCTAAGCCTAAGTATTTGTTTTCAATATCTGAACTTTTTTTTTACTTAGAAGTCTACTGGTCATTCCAAGCTTTCTTCATTTCAAAAACCTAATTTTGGAAGAATAAAGTAATTGAATTGTTGCTATAGATTAAAAAAAATAGGAGTCAGAAATGTTTGTTGGCCAGCTTCAAAGCACTCTGAAAGCTACTGGTAGATTCTGCCCTATTTTCTGCATGTTCCTGAGGTAGGTGAATAAGGACTTAACCACAACATATAAAATATGTGTTCTATAGCTGCCCTTTCATTTTTTTTTAAATTACTCATAAAACATAGAGTGGACTGATCTGATTAAGAGTATTGCAATACTGCATCTGTAACAATGGGAACTGAATCCTTTATCTTTCATTCAGGTTTTTAAAAAATCCTTTGTATGTTTTTTTAAAAAGCTTCTATTGGTGCCAACAGTCGTACTACCTTTTGTTTAATATCATTAACTTTAATAACAATGTTGCATCATCACACAATTTTTCTGCTCGTATTAAGAGAGTATGCAGCACGTACATTCAAACTTGATATTTCGTAGGTTTTCAGGCAAGTCATGCAGAGCTACCTTTAGCCATTCATCCAACTGCTTGGCAAACTTGCGAATCACCTGCGTTAAGCTGAAAAGAAAAGCACCACTTCAGAAGCATATGTTGAGACTCTTTCTTTGCAGAAGAAAGGCAGGAAAAAAATCAGCTGTATTGTACAACTTTCCCATTCTTAGTTTTGTAGTTCAAAGGTGGCAAATTTTCCTGTGCTAATGTATCTGGCATAAGTTCCTAGAACTTAGTGAGACCTACTTCCCAGTTTTACATTTATAGGATTGCGTTGGGAATATATATTATGTTATAGAAGCCTAATAATAAGGAATCTGAAAAGTATACTAAAGTATACAGAAAAAAGTCATCTACAGAATTCTGAATTAAGTAACTACAAGTTCTTGGATCTGCTATCCCCCCAGCTCTTAACAAATAAATTAAATAGTTATATGCATTCTTCAAAACTATGCCACTTTTCAAAATTATGATCCATAATTGTAACATAAATTTTCAGTGAAAACCAGATGTTTAAAACATAGAAAAACAAACATCACTACTACTACTACTACTGCTACTAAAATAGCTACTTTAGTTAGCAGCAATAGCTAAAGAAGTTGAATTAAATGATTCCATTGCCATCTAGGAAAATCAATGTTTAAAAGCTTAGGACAAAAAATATATCTTGCCAGCCCCACAAAGGGTAATAAAGCAGGCACAAAACATACTACACTGCCTTTCAGAATAGGGGGCCTGTTAAAGACTGTTCTCAGACAAGTATCAGCCACAAGGCCATCTAGAAGTCTTAGGGTTCAAGAAAGCACGTACAAGAAAATCTAGCCCTTAAGATACTGGTTGGGAAATATGAAGTAGAACTCATCAGTAGGCTACTAGTTTAGGGAAGGCTGGAGTAGAATGTGTGTTACTTAGGAAACAATGTAGAAGTGAAGCTCTGTAACACCCACAAAAAATCATTATCTAAGATAGAATTTCAAGGAAGAGAACTTGATAGACAAAAAATGTAGTTGACTGCACTTGCATTAAATCGATTGCCAAAATACTGGGAATACAGGGAAGGGAGCAAAATTGAAGCATGCAAGTACAGAAGTATTTTAAATATATTACCCACTTACAGTATTTGCCCTTCATTCCTAAATGGAGAAATTCCACCATTCCTTCCTTGACTTTTGAACTCAATCTGCAGTATTCTGTCAAACCCATTTGTTTATATTATTCATAAATGTCACTTGGTCTTTTGCAAGAAATATTCTTTGTTCAAACTGTGCAAGGAGCACATATTGCAAGTGAATCCACACGTATACACTCACACAAATGTCAGCCTAGTGAAACATACTCACCTATCAGGTAATGCTTGCAAGACGGTTGGCATCAAAACCCCCGAAATAGCTTTATACAATATGGAATCACAAACTCCAACTATATTTACTACAGTGGAAGAACCCAGTACAGGAAGCATGTGAGGAGGCATCCCTTGCCAAAAGTGCAGAAGAAAACTTTGAACCTAGAAGTGCACCCAGACAGAAGGAATAAATGGAATTTGTAATGTTATTTGAATTATTATTTGCCTATCTTATAGAGTGGGGGAAAAGACACTTCTGATTTCCTTTTTGCAAAACACTGTCAAATGATCTGTTCCACCCATGGCAGCTTGCTGACCAGAAAGAAAAGGGATTTGCAATGGAGACAGTGGGGAAGAGGTAATTCTGCCTTCTTTCTTTCATGTCCATCCACCACTGGGTTTGGTCTCTGCTCATCACTAACTGCCAGCCTTGCAAGGTAGTCCAGCCAAGAAGCACACCGAGAAGTACTAGCTCTAACTTTATTGTAAGGTTACATTAACAGAATCTTACAAGTCTGAAAGTACATTTCTCCCCCATTGCCTTTAGAGCCCAAGAAACTAGGGCGGGTCCCTTCTGAGATGTTTGCCACACTCCCATTCCTTCTGTGGGCTAAGCTGCCTCTTATCTGACCGTTCCCCTGGCTGCATCTCCCAAGGTCATTCCCACATACCATTACACTAACATGGAGCCCTAACAAATTTCCTCTGAAAATACATGACTGTTGACAGCAATTAGGTTCCCCTGCATGATAATGAGAAAGGTTTCATATCCAATATGGATGCAGTCAAAATCAGGAAACAGGCATTACACTGAGGGATAGGGAAAGGTTAGATCATCCTCTATGGACTGCTACCCACTTCATTGACTATCATTCATTGCAAATATTTTTAAGGCCTAAATCTAGCTTAGAAAATAGCTTTGCCCTGAACAAGATATTTATCCCATTATACAGGTATTGATTGTCTGGATTGACTACATGAAAAAAGATCATAAGGATGAGAACTGAAAGAGAAACAAAAAGCATAGAGAATTCTAGGATGAGGTTTTGATGTTGGGGTTTAATACAGCAAGTCAGCATGAACTTTGGAAATCAGTATTCTCCACTAGTTTAGTTGGTCTTGATATTGAGAAATGGCATCCAGTTTCCCTAAGACACATTCACCACATTAATGTTGCAGACTATTCATTACATGACTTCTTTAAAATATTATTGCGTATAAAACTGAACCATAGATATTCTCATCTTTATGAACTATAGGTACAGATACACACAAATGTATATGTATTTAATAGATTTCCATCCTGCCTTTAATTCAGGAGCTCAAGGCACTGTACAAAGCACTTCTTCCTATTTTCCCTCACTTCTGTGAGGTAGCCTGAGCTGAGAGAGAACAACTGGCCCAGAGTCATCCAGTAAGCTTCCATGACTGAGGGTGTGCTAGAATCTGGGTCATGCCACTCCTCGTCCAACACCTTAACCACTACACCACATGGGTTCTCTGATAGGTATCTGCATTGGGTAGGCAATGTGATGCCAATGGACATGAGTTGTGCTGGGCACCACTTTTGATTCTGTTTCCTACTTGACATGTCTTTGGTCAGAAGCTGGCATGCCGTGAAGCAAAATATCATCCATTAATATTATGGAATGTTTCAGGTCCTCACCAAAATCCCACTGGATTGATAGAAATCATCGGGGGAGGAGACTCACTGGCTTACTGTTAAATAGATACTTTGTGACACCATGGCAGCTATTATTATGTATAAACAACTGTTCAGTGATAATTATTTTGTGAATGAACCAACCACTTGCTCTCAAATTCAAAATGTGCTCTTAGTTCATGAAAGATTGCCTAGCTTTGCTATAGATGGAGGTATAGGCATAGATATAGTTACTGTAGTCTCTCTCTCCCCTTCATGGATCACTGCCTTGTCGTGGCGAAGGGGCTTGCGTAACTCAGTGAA